GATAGATTACTTACCAATTACTGTCACAGGCAAAACATAATTGACTTTGGAAAAATTAATTTAATTTTTTGCTAAGTAAAATAGGTTAGATAGTGAGGAAAAAAAAAAAAAAAACCAAAGAAAAAACCCCCCCCCCCCCCCCCCCCGAATCCTGCTCTCCCTTAGGAGATGCATCAGGAAGGCGCTGTCGGGCAGGCCTGGGGGATGCTGAGCAGCCAGCTCTGTCATTACAAAACTGAGACAATGCTTCATTTCCTTTTTTCTCTAAGTAGCAGCTTTCCCAGTGATTTACACCATGGCTTTTCTTGGGGGGAGGCTGCATGAGCCATTCCAGGAGAATTTATTTTTCACTTGTTGCATTTCTGGGGCCACGGAGCGATAAAATGAAACAGTGGAATAGAGGAAGGAAGGTGCTAAGAATGAGATCTGGCTGGAAAAAGGAATATAGAGCCCATTAAAAAAAAGAAAAAACAAATGGAGAGAGGGGACTCCTGCTGATTTGGGGCTGCTAGCAATAAGCAACATGTCTGTAACGGATTGCTTTCCCACAGAGGTAGCTATTGCCTCTCCTTTGCCTAATTGGAAATGGAAAAAAAAAAATGTTTGGTGAAATAAACTAAGGTTTAATAGCGTGCCTTCTCCCCCTCCTTGTGAGAGCGTCGCACTGAGCGTGCAAGCCAGCTCTCGTGACAGCCCATCTCCTCGGTGTGGTGGGTTCCTGAGATTGTGTCCCAGCCTTCCTCCGCTTCTTCCAGGGCTTCCTGCGCCGTGCTGCCCGCGACTCCCCAGCGGCCTTGTTCTTCAAAGCCCTCCCTGGCCCCCTGCCTACCCCGGGAGCCACCTACATCCCACACCAACTCTGCTGCCTGGTGTTCCCATCTCCTAGGGCTGCCGAGAGCTCCTTCTGCCTACATCTAAGGATCCAGAAATGAGGTTGCCTGCTGGTTTTTTTGGTTTTTCGTTTTTTTGTTTTTTTTTTAAATTTAGTTGAAGTTAAACTTCAGTTTAGCCCCAACTGTTTTCAGTTCCTGCTTGCAGTCTTCCCCCCCCAATCTTCCCCCCCCCTTTAGGGTCTGAGCGGGGGGGGGAAAAAATAAAAGGCTGCAACTTTTTTTTTTCGGGGCTTTTCTCTGAGAGTCCAGCCTCCCCTGAGTGGGGAGAGCCGTGGGGCAGACGTGTCTCCCCCCTACGCCCCCAGCCTGCTGCCCTGGGAAGCAGAAACCCCTGGGGACGGGCTGCCGTGGGTACCTCTCTGTGTCTCCTGTGTTTTCTACCCGCCCCGCCGGCTGCTGGGGGGGCAGGGGGTCTCCCCCTTCCCCATCTCGGCCCCGGTGCTCCTCCCTTGCGAGGAGAGCTGGAGGGAACCGACCCACCGGCCCCGCCAACGCCGGGGCGGGGAGGGGGCTCCACCGGACGCGGGGGCACCCCAGGCCCCGCCCCCAGATAAGCCCCGCCTCCTATAAGACCACGCCCACTCCTATGTCCCCGCCCCCCGAGGCCTCCGCCCCGCCCCTGGGCTGGCGGCGGCGGGCGGCGGCGGCAGTCGGAGCGGCGGCCGCCCCCATGTCGGGCCCGCGGGGCGCCCTGCAAGCCTGGTGCCGGCGGCAGTGCGAGGGGTACCCCGGCGTGGAGATCCGCGACCTCAGCGCCTCCTTCCGCGACGGCCTGGCCTTCTGCGCTATCCTCCACCGGCACCGGCCCGACCTGCTGTGAGTCTGGCGGCGGCGGCGGGGGTTGCAGGCCGCGCCGGCACCGGCCTCACCCTCGTCTCGCCCGGCGGGGCCCGGCTCCCACCCGCGGTCGCTGGGGAGAGGAGGAGGAAGAGATGAAGGAGGGAGGGTTGGCCCAGAGGTTTGGGGTGCGGGGGGCACTGGGCGCCCCGTTTCTGGTGGGGCTGAGCCGTCCGTGCCCCTTTGCCGTTCTGCCGGGTGGCTCGTAGGGATCCGGGGGGGCTGGAGGCGCCGTAGGGAACGGCTCCGGGCTGGCTGGCGGGGAGGGGGAGGGTCTCCCTGTGCATGGACATTGGGGGGGTTCACGGGCAGAGAACACGGCAGCGGCTCCGTCAATTTCTGAAAGAATTGGGTACCGGAATGAAGGATGCTGTGATTCTGGGACATTGGGGGGGTTCAGGGGCAGAGAGCACGGCAGCGGCTCCGTCAATTTCTGAAAGAATTGGGTACCGGAATGAAGGATGCTGTGATTCTGGAGCGGGTCACGGAGCTGGTGAGGGGTCTGGAGAACAAGACTTATGAGGAGCAACCAAGGGAGCTGGGATTGTTTAACCTGCAAGAGAAGGAGGCTGAGGAGAGACCTCACCACTCTCTACAGCTACCTGAAAGGAGGTTGTGGCCAGGTGGGGGTCAATCTGTTCTCCCAAGTAAGAAGCAATAAGACAAGAGGAAATGGCCTCAAGTTGTCCCAGGGGAGGTTTAGACTGGGTACTAGGAAAAATTTCTACACCAAAAGGGTTATCAGGCATTGGAAGAGGCTGCCTAGGGAAGTGCTGGAATCATCATCCCTGGAGGTGTTTAAAAGATGGGTAGACGTGGTGCTGAGGGACACGGTTTAGTGATGGCTTCTGTTGGTGTTAGGTTAATGGTTGGACTTGATGATCTGAAAGGTCCTTTCCAACCCAGACAATTCAACAATTCTATGTTTTGGTGAGCAACCTTCTGACCCGGGCTTGCAGACCCATCAAGGTCAGGGTTAGCAGGACTCGCGTGGTTTGAGGCCGAGGAGAGCGTGGAGATGGGCTAGGTTCAGCCTGGAGCTAGTGTGCTGCTGTACACCCTGCTGGGAGTGGTGCAGGCCAGGGAGGAGGCACGGTGCTGGCAGCTGGGCATTGGGGATGTTTTGCCTTTGTGAGAGGTGGGCATTCCCACTTCCCCAGAACCAGAGTCCTGCCTGGCACAGGGACGTTCCCAGCTGCCAGAGGCAGCCACTCCGAAACATGCAGCACCCTGGACCAGGGTGCTTCTTGTATTTGCTCCCAGCTCGTTTGCTGTGGATGCCACAGTGAAATACCATCAGGGATATCAAGCCTTGCTGGCCTTTCCCAGCAAATGGCTTGGAGTTGAGGTTCTTCTGTCCACCTCCCTTTCGCAGGGTGGCTCTGAGGGGGAATATATGAGTATCAAGAGGCAGACAGTGAGTTTGGGATTGCTTGGGGGCATGGTGTCAGGCTGGAGAAACTGGCTGAGCAGCTGGAAGGAATCTGCCCCGACCTGCTGCCATAACCCTGCTGCTGGGAATTCACATCCCGCCTGCTCTAATCTGTGGTAGCCCTTGCAGTGCAGGTAGGCATTGCCTCACCTTGCCGTGCCTCCAGCGGGCACGCGCTCCTCGCCTGTCAGCAAAGCCCAGTGGTTGTGTCCCCTGTCACATTCGGCTCTGGGGCTGATGGATTTTCCTCTGAGGTTGCCTGAATTGACCAAATCCTCTTTTATGAGCTGGCCCTGGGATGGCCTTTTGTCACGACAATAACAAAAATGGCTATCTCTAGCAGGTAGAAGGTTGACAGTGACACTGCTGTGGAGCTGTGGCGCCCGTGAGAGGGCAAAACAGCCCCACGTTCTTACAAGCAGAAGCTGAACAGGTAGGCTAGAAACTGAACTATTGCCTGATGTGTTTCAGGTGACTGCCACAAAACCCTCAGCTGTGGCTTTTGGAGACACCGAGATGTACGGTGGCTTTGCATCTCCCTGGGTCTTGAGGGAGCCAAGTGGTCTTGTATCCTGGCAACTCCTGTGTGGTGTAGCTCGCTCTGACCGTCTAGGACAGAGCCTTTGAAAACTCTCCTGGTCGCAAGGCGGCTGGAGTGGGAAGAGGTGATTAAGGACAGGAACACCAGCAACTCCCGTGTTTCTGAATTTTTTTAATTTTTTTTTTGGTCAGTGGCACAGCAACTGGGAACTGCAAAGCAGAAGTTCAGCAAAAGCTTACAATCAACACCACTGAAACCACCTGATGCTTTCTCATTAACCATATTTACCATCCCATTAAGCAGCAGACGCTGCTCTTGTCAGTGGGTTTAAATCTGCTCCTGGCAGATGTCCTAACGAAATGTTTCACAGGTCCTCTGCACAAGCTGTGTTGTAAAAGCAAAGCCCAGGGCCTTACATGGACATGGCATGTGTTAGAAGGATTTTCAGAGGGTGGTCAGAAGAGTAGCATCATTTCGTCTGATTCCAGCTTCTTCAGCCTGTCCCGATTTGGAAGTGGGAAGATTGGATCAGAGGCAGTAAATCTCCTGACGGCAGAGGGGAAAAAGTGGTTGCCTTTCTTTTCTTCTAAAGTGCTTTCAGTCAGCCCGGTAATGAGACTTGGCAGGGATCTGTGAGTACGTTTCTGACCTTGCGTGGTCCTTCCTTTGTACGGGGCTCTCCTGGCCTGGCTGAGATGGCTGCGCTGCTCCCTCAGGGCTGAAGTTCCTCTGTACTCGGCTGCTTCCCCGCTTCCTGCTGGCTTCCCCCTGCGTGGCAGAGGGGAGGAACAAGCACATCCATGCAGGAGCTGAGCTGGAGCCCACCTTCCTCTACCTGTGTGGCACCACTCTTCTGGCACCCTGATCCTCCGAGCTTTCTTTTGCTGCTGTGGTGGCTGTTGGTCTGTCCCCGTTGTCTGACCCTGCCTGGACGTCCTGCTGTTATGCTGCTGTACTGGTAGGTGACATGCTGTCGTGAAAGGCCATTCGGGTAAGTGAGGCTGAGGACAGTTTTCTGTGTGACCCTTGATTTGAACACAATTGCCTTGGGATAAGGCAGATGGCATCAGAGGGATGCTCCCCTGTTGAGCTCCGCACCAGTTCGTGCAGAGCTCTTGGAAACACTAGGGTTGGTTTTTTTTCTGAAAGAAGTAGACTGGAAGTGCTCAGTGTCTACTGAATCCAGCTAAAGGTGTCTTGAACTGACCACCAAGGATGAGGTGCGTATCTGCAGGACCTGTGTGTTGAACCATGAAGGTGAAAGTCCCTGACTCTGGCTCCGCTACAGTATGCACCTGGTTTGGTTTCACTGCCTTTATCTCCCGATCAGGGAAATGGCAAACCTGGATTTAGCCTTTGACTACACTCCTGGCTGTGTGATCTCAAGGCGAGACATTTAATCTTTTCTTTTCCCTTGTCAGTCAAGCTGGAAGCAGCCAGGCCAACTTGACAGTGGACCATGGGGATTAATGAGTTTGTTTGCTCAGTGCTCTAGAAATCTAAAGCACGAACTTAGTGTTTACAAGGCATTTGCCTCAGCTTAGTGAAGTAAAAAGCATCTTTCAGCGTCCCAAGCTCTGCAGCCTCCCAGGAGCTCAGGGGAGGTTCTTGGCATCCAGGGGCGAGAAGCATAAGAGAGCGTGGCACATGCCTTTCGAGTGCGGGGAGAGATGGAGGCTTGAGGAGAACAGGAGATGAGAGCCATGTGTTAGAAACACTGTTTTGTGTCCCTAGAGCCGTGGCTTTGGTTACAAGCAGGATCACAAATCGCATTTGTTCCTTCCCATGTACAGCCTGCATTTCCCTGACAAGATCTGGAAAGCTGAAGGGCTTATTATGCGGCACCGCCGTTAGAGTGCTCATGATTTATATATTGAGGAATCCAGGAATTTGCTCTGGGTTTAGCTGTGCGGAGTACCCTTCCCCCTCCCTGGGTCTGCTGCACTCCCTGGCAGCTGCCCTAAACCCCGGAGTGCTTAGTGGCTCTGTATGTATCTAATTAGGTAAGCGCTTGGGATGTTATTTGCATGGAAATATTACTCCAGGATATGCTACGACGCTGGGGTTTGCTGAGTCAAGACAGTTGTTCAACTGGGATGTCCAGAGTCTCGCCTGTTCTTACATCCGATCCCTTGGAGTGGTATGAGGAGCCCGAGCAGGGCTGGATGAAAGGCTGCTGAGATCAGGACAAGGAAATAACACGACATGTAGCTGCATGTCACAGGGCTGCGAGATGGCGTGTTCTGGCCTTTCTGCAGAGGAGGCAGTTTGTAGAGAGGAAAGGAGTATGTCTGGGGTGACTTTCCCCCGTGCCTGAGGGGCCTTGCTCCTTGCACGTTGGTGTAGAGAACGTGGCCAGAGCCGTGGGGATGCTGCATAACAGAGTAGCACGTGGGATGGTGGAGACCATCAAGGTCCTGCTTGACTTGTTTGGAGAGGGAGCTGGAAAATGTTGTGGAGAGGAACCAAATAAACTGTGGTCCCCGGGGCATTGTACTGATGGACTTCAATACCTCAGTAAAAGCTGAGAGTCTGCAATTCTGCATTAGGAAAAAATTCTCCTTGTATTCCCTTGCTCCTTGGTAGTCCCCCTTTTATCTCTTGAGCTTCACGTCCTCTCTGCTGACATCGGCTTTCCCAGGCAGATTTGCCTTGGTTTACTAAAAAGGCTTTGGTTTGCTGGGGCAGAGTGGAATGAACATGATGTTTTGTCTGTCAAAAAATACTATCCCAGCCCAGGCCACCAAGGAGTCTTCAAGCTTCCAGCTGCACCACTCCCATATCCTGAAAGTGAGGGCATTCAAAATTAAGGTCATGAATGTTTAGAGGGCAGTTGATATATAACTTTGCTGTCATCGCTCCTCCTGTGTTCCCAAGCTGGTATTTTCTTTAAAAGGAAAAAAAACAAAAGGCAAGGTTAAAGGAGTTCTCTAGGAAAAAAAAAAAAAAAAGAAAAAAAAAAACATCCCCCAG